TCTTAAAATACACGAGAAAAACTTGTGTCATACACATACATCTAAATATTGTAAACAAAATATAGTTCAAATACTGTATATTTCTTCACTTAAGACATGTGAGTGAATTTATAAAGTGATTATTTCCATTTGTACTGCTCTTTTCCGAAACGAAATGATAAGAGTAATTAATGGAATTATAACATATAACAGTTTCTTATTATCATTTAATGAATGAAATCAGTAGTCTCTAGAATTTTATATTTTTTACATGATTCACAAGAAACGTTTTAAGACATGTGAGTGAATTTATAAAGTGATTATTCCATTTGCACTGCTCTTTTCCGAAACGAAATGATAAGAGTAGTTAGTGGAATTATAATCTATAACATTTTCTTATTATCATTTAATGAATGAAATCAGTAAGTCTCTTGTATTATGTTTTATACATTAATTTATGCAAACTTAATGGAATTTGTAATTTATGTAACTATATCTAACTGTATACAAAAATCTAATCAGTGGTTTTATAATGAAAACAATTTGTTTTATTAAAGGCAAATGGCTTATGTAATTATGTGAAATATCCCTTTAAAGAAGAAGCCTAAATATAAACAAATAAAATCAAATATATTTCACATCTGTATCATTTTGATTTGCTAGTTATGTGGTACGCAGAATATTTTATACTTTACGTGCAAGTTATAGTTAAAAAAATATACATGTATATACATAAATAATATCTACACGTGCGTCAAGTATCAATGGTCTAAGGGAGGTAAAAAGCCTAATAGAGATTCAATGTACAAATACTGTTATCTCCCTTGGTACTTAACTGTGTAGTCACATACATGTACTTGTTCAATGGAAAACAATAATACATTCTTTTGTTATAGATAGCACCGCAAATATTGAAACAGTACTAATTTTGTGTAAATAAAAAGTGTGTATACTCGTATAGTTAAAAGAAGAAAAGCAGCAAAAAAAAGAGTATATTTTCGCAAGGAAAGTTAAAAAAGATGAATTGGCAAAATTAAAATATTCGTTCATGTTTAATTATTAGATGACATTTTAAAAGGATTATATATCGATGAAATTTAGCAGAATTAAACGTTCATGTTCACGTTCGTATATATACAAAAGTAGTTGTTTAAATCGTAGCTAGATTTCAAAAAAAAAATTCAGTGTTTTATAGTTCAATGTTTCAAATATTCTGCGAGACGGAAGAAAGATTTCAAACGCTGATCTACATCTTAAGCTAGAAATTTAAATAAAACAAAGCCTAAATTAAAATATCGTTGCGACAGCTTAATAGAGTACTTAAATGTAACAACTTACGACGTAAAACTGGATACACACCAGATCACATTGTTCTGGATTATATTTCCAAGGAAATTGAGACAAGTGGTCAGTGCATTGGTTATTGTTCGATGTTGAAACGCTTGACAAATGAACATAAATTCAGAGTTCCTAGAAATAAAGTTCTTTCATTTATGAAAACTATTGATCCTAAAGGAATCAATTTTCAGAAAGCCCACAGAATTAAAAGACGCAAGTACAGAATAAAGATTCCAAATTATGTATGGCACGTAGACGGTTACGATAAACTGAAACCATATGGCTTTTGTATACACGGTGCTATTGATGGTTACAGTAGAAGGATACTTTGGCTAGAAGTGTCACAAAGTAACAACAACCCTGCAGTCATCGCTATGTATTATCTTGAAGCGCTGAAGACGCTTCGGTTTGTTCCCCAAATTCTTCGTTGTGATAAGGGAACAGAAAATTCAACTCTGTCTTTGCTCCAACCGTTCTTCCGGTACAATGATACAGATAGTATATCGGGACTTAGAAGTTTTATATACGGATAAAGTATTTCAAATCAACGAATAGAGGCCTGGTGGGGAACAATGAGACGCCAAGGAATTCAATGGTGGATTTCCTTTTTCAAAGATTTAAAAGACAATCAAGAGTATGATGGATTAAATCCTTTACATGTTGAATGCTTGAAATTCTCTTTTATGCACTTGATTCAGGCCGAGCTTGGCAGAAAAGTGGTTAATTGGAACTTACATTTCATTCGTAAACAGAGGAATTCTGAGGTACCAAATGGAAAACCCGATTTAATGTACTTCGTTCCGGAATTGTTTGGCGGACACAATTATGGAAAGATTGTAGATCAAAATGATGTTGATGCTTGTTGCGAAATGTACGGCTTATGTAGGACAACATGCATTAAAGAACTTCAAGATTTGGTAAAATTACTAAAGCCTGACATCCGCATTCCCATGGATGTACAAGATGCTCTAGAACTATACAGGGAACTACTGGAACTTATTGATGAAGCCATTGAATAACTTCTCTCATATGTGCTCTGAATAAATTCTCTTCAAGTATCAGATATTTTATATTATTCATTTAGATCGTTTGCGGAACAAGTTCTTGCCAAGGTTTTCTTTTAATCAAAACAATAATTACAATAATTAAGTCATGAAATAAATTCAAGTTGAAAAAGAAACAAAACCAAATGCTATCAGATAGTATCAGATGTTAATTTTGAATTGCTTTTGCGTAGTGTATTGGTAAATTCTGCGATCTCACTTTTGAGTTATGTGCCTTTGAACCAGAATATTTTACTTACTTGAGGTCAATTCAAGGACATTAAAGTAACACAAAGAAGAATGAAACACGAGGCTATTTGATCTGATAGCTATCTGATACAAGGGGGCTAAACTAGTTACATGCCTGTTCCCAAAATGTTGTTCTGAGATGCCCACAATGTAACTTCCAAACATGCAGATTTTACAGGATGTATGTCTTATAATATTGTTATATTATATAAATGTATATAATTGTCTATCATATGATTTAAAATTCATACACAACATAAAAAGTAGTTATGTAAATTAAAATTACATAAACTCATATCTATTCTGTTTCCCTTTTATAGGTTTTTCCATAGAACTTATTCAAACAACCCTTGAAACTTCACTGGTGGATATCAAAACATGAATATTTGTTACTAACACGAATCATTTTATCTTAAACTATGTCCATTTGTTTTATTTCCTTGCTATGTTTAAAGACTAACACTTTCAAATCAAAGCACAGAAGGCGCTGAATTTGTTTGGGTCTCAGAATGTAAGAAAGGTGCAGGTTGTGAGATTATATGTTTAGTGCCACCAATGCTTCCCAGCGTTTTAATTGTAGTAAATTGGCTATTAGACTAATTGCAACACTGATATTCAATCCAATGTTTATTTGACTTTAAAAATTTAAAAAAATGAGTAACATTTACTGGGATTTGAACTCCAGACCTCTCGCTTCCTAAGCGAGCCCGAAAACCCTTCAGCCACGGTGAATTTATATGTGAACGGCCTGAAGAAAACCATATTATTCTAAATTAGGGCTTGTAACGACTTTAACTGTTGTTTAACACAGATGTAAATAATCCTGGAGCTTACTATAAGCATGTATATTTATAAAGAATCAAACGGCTGCAAGTTATGTGGTATTTTCTGATCTTTGCAATCTAAATCGTACTGTATATCTGTATGCATTTTCCTGTATAAGTTTATTTTTATGTATTATAATTCCTTTTGTAAGGCACCAGAGTTTGATACATACTGCATAACTAGAGTTGCATCAAAAAATCATTTATGTTCTTTTTTATTACGACAGCCACACTTTATCTTTGTATATCATGGCTACTTCCTTAACAAAAACACTTAAAAAAAAGAATTTAACAAAAAAAAAAGTTTCCTCGACTGGGATTCGAACTCGAGACCTCTCACTCACGAGGCGAGCGCGTTACCACTGTACCACGGAGAAGTTATACACAGAGTGTCTGAATAATATCAAGTCATTCTAAATTTAAAACTTCCATTGCAGTTCGGGTTTGTAATCCTTATTAATTTCGTGGTATTTTGTTCAGGGTAAACCTGTTGTTTATAATTGAAGTAAATATTTTAGCAAAAATCCTCTCGCCCAAACGGTCCGGCATGTAGAATCTATATATTCCACTACTCGGTTTGTGTAGTATTCGGTAATCAACATGGCTAAAAATAGTATTTTCATTGATAAAATCATATTCATCCGCGTAATTTGTGATTGTGCATTTATTGACAATTCTATAAGCCAACGCTATTGTTTAACTTTAAATGCGTTGTAATTTGTTGGATACTTGTAACAAAATAAAATATTTCTTTCTTTTAAATCGCTAGTTTTTAGCTGTTTTGAGAACTACTTGTTGTTAGGTTTGTAGTAAACTTCTGTGTCAGAGATTGAATGTCCGCTTTGTATTTAGTTATTTTCGATCAGAAAATACAATAAAACAGTATTAGAAATCTTTGACCATTCGGGAATTACTTTGCTTGAAAATTGATGCGCCTGTCTTTGACCATCTTTACGCAGTGATCTCCCCTGAATTTTTCGGCTTTAGTGTACATACAAAAGGGAAGTAACCGCTCCAAAAAAGTGGACTACTTTCGGCATTTGCAATTAGCAACATTAGACTCTGAAATTTCGCTACCATTATTTGTTTGGTCTGACGACCCAAACAAATAAAAATATTGTTTTAAGGAAAAGAGCTCGCTTATATGAAATATATTCAGATAAACAAAATTAAATGGTTTTAACGAAATATATTGACAATTATTTAAGTCTTTAAGTAAAAAAATAAACAAGTGTTAACTTAAAACCAACTTTCTTTTCGGCATACAAACTTAAATATTTTGAAATCAGTCATAAGTTTTACTTAGATTTAAACAAATTGAAAATACTTATATCAAAGAAACAGAAATAATTATAGTTTTGAAAACAGCCTAATACAAAACAAGAACTATCACTAAATGTGATTAATACCCCCGCAAGACTGCTTCGGAAATGATGGAGTTATTAGTAATATAATTAGTATCAACTGTACTGTCATCCAGGGACTGAAGTCATACTCGGTCAGTAAAAATCTCCTGAGTTGCATGACAAGTGTATGTTGAAAGTTTTATTTTTTCTGCCAGCAAAGCTTGAGAGTCCACCCTTACAGCTGCACATTCATAAAGTGTATCTTTATCTGATACCTTCACCAAGTATTCACCAGGATCAGTTACGGGGATTAAGCAAAGGTCAAGTCCACTTGCAAAGAGTTCGTTGTTTTTATACCACTGAAAATATGCACCAGAATTATGTTCTTTATAAAGTACTCCAAGTATGATTTCCTTGTTTTCTTGCCTCTCAAAACCCACAATCTGGTCAGGTGTATGAATTATTCCTTTTGCATTTGATGTAGCTGTTGGATATTCAAAGTGGTTAGAACTCGGATCTGCTTGGCTCAAAATAGAGATCTTGTTGACTGTTATGGCTGTCACTTTGAAACTATTTTCCAGTGGATTATACCCATCTCTTTCTCTGTCAGGATCACTTACAATTGTGTCAAGAAATCAGTCATCAATGGTTTGACAGATTTTTTGTGAACATTCTGCTGTGTATGATGAGTTGCAAAGTTTAGTGTACTTTACACATATTTCACCAGGTGTTTGGTCATTCACTATCAATGATGTTAAAGGAACCGGAATGCTTTTATCATCTACATGCTGTCTAACTGGCTCTCTACCGTCAATCTCCTGTTTTTTTAGATGTTCTCAAATATAAAAAGTACTAAGAGGAAAACACGCCGATAGACTTCAAGTATGTTTGCAAATTACATTCTTCCCCATTTGGCATGACAAATTTTGAGATTACTTCTCCGTTATATGTAGACAGATTCACTACCATATCTGATAACTTTCCTATATCATTTTTTCCATCTGGAAAGAAAATGCTAGTTGCATAATTTATAACTGTCTGAACAGTTTGCTCTTCTTCTTTTTTAAATTCGTATATTCTTGTACCGCCTCCTCTCCGTGCGGTAACTTGTCTTAACTTCCCACGAGTTTCATGAAGCCATCCAAGGTGCAACTTATATATGGCATGTCTACCAGTACCTCGCTGTTTCTGAAAGAAGAAATAATAAGCTATCTAGGATAATTTATTGAAAATACACCAAGGGATATATAGAAATTTGATGAATCTTTCAACCATCATAACTGAATCTCATAGAAAACTTAAATGTATACGTCATTTAATAAAGCGCCCAAAAATATGTGTCACTCACATAAAAACTTGCTGTTTATTTCTTTCAAAAAGTACATTATTTTACGCAATGGTCGTATTCATTGATTCGTTAAATTAATCTAGGTTTTGACAAAATCAAAACACAGTTACCAGACTAAAATTTTAACCAAGTGATCTAGTATTTACCACTCATTTAATGTCCAATATTGAGAATACCTTATGAACACTTTGAACATGTTTCATGAAAATCACAAAAGAAATGTTACCCTGTGTTAAAATACAGTCGCGAGCAACCAGTGATCATGATGACTGTGTTACCTGATTATTGCAAATTAAGCAATTGTATTGTTCTGTAAATTTTTCAGCTACTTTGTAGCATGTTACAGTTATTGTGTAGCAGGAGACACAAACATCAAACAGACGGATGGACACACAGACACCTGCATGGTCTTAATTTGATTTGACTTCTTGACTTCATTTTTGATTGCACTCGACCAGCTTTCAAATAAAACATTTATAGAGATGAACATTCTGTCAATGTATCACAAAGACCAGAACGTATTTTGACTTTTGAATTATGTCTTATGTATTTTGACTTTTGTATTATGTCTTATGTATTTTGACTTTTGTATTATGTCTTATGTATTTTGACTTTTGTATTATGTCTTATGTATTTTGACTTTTGTATTATGTCTTATGTATTTTGACTTTTGTATTATGTCTTATGTATTTTGACTTTTGTATTTTGTATCATGACATATGTAATACGGCTTATGTATTGTGTATTACGGGTTAAGAAGTATGCATCATTTGATTTATACAGACATGTAAGAAGTCTCGCAGCTTGCTCATCTATTACCCTATCTCCTTGGTGATAATTTTACTTGCGAATACTAAATTAGACTGCTATTTGCATGTCGGTTCTGTGCCAAAATAATCATAAATGTTCAAACTGTTTTCTACAATTGAATCTTAGTTCTTCGAATTATTTTTTTAATAGAATAAAAGAAGATTTTGCATGTAGGTTATTTACAGTGTTTATTTTTATATTATGTAGTCAAACATTGCAAAAATGCTTTAGAAGAATGAAAAGTCAAACATTTGTTATTTGTCATTTTCTAGAAATCTTTATCGATTTGGTAGAGCCATTTCATGTATCAGATCATTCTTTTAGTGATTTTACATTTCCACCTATTGATCATGTTTAGAAAAAAAACAACAAAGAATTGGCTTTAAAATGTCATATTTTGAATTATAAAAAAAATCCTTGTTTTCACCATAGATTCCTCAATATCAGATTAATAATTATCATTTATTGTACTCTTTGTATTTTCACATATTAATATACATTTATAGTAAAGTTTCATTACATAAAACATTCAATTTGGAGAGGAAAAAAGTAATAGTTTGAATGATTACATACTACAAGCTGTCTTATTTTTCATATTAATTACATATCATTGCATGTATATATAGTGATATCAAAATACAACTGATTCAGGTACTCTCATATTTCATTCCTCCACAAAATATGATAAACAATATCAACAAGTTAAGGCAGCGTTCAATGAACGCAAAAAAAGACAATAGTGTGAAACTTCTTATTTATTTATATTTGAATAAGTTATGCTGAATTAATGCAATTGAATCAACCATTTCACTTAACTTGATTTTTATATTAATTAGGATTATATGGCACGTAAACTGACAAAAGAACAAAGTTGTACATGCACAAAGTATCATATAGTAGATGACTTTAAGCATTAAAGATGCATGCCTCCAGATGAGTCAAAATATTTTTAAAAAAAACTCAAACTTAAGATAAATATGCTAAGATTTTAAGAAAAGTAAAGAGATTCAAGAATTAAGTTATAATTTACATGTTGGGATAAATCACTGGTTTTGCAGTATGCATCACCATAATTCTCCTAACGCGTAACGAAAGGGCTATATTTGCCAATTTAACCACCTTTGCTAATTTACGATTGTAAGTAGATTATTACTTTGTTCATAACAATATTTTCCTTTTCATAATATTCATGAGAATTTTTATGAATGTTTGAAGTATGCTGCTTTAAAAGTTAAAGAGTTATTCAAATCCTTAATTATTATATATTAAATCATGACTCAGATATAGATGTACATATATGAAGACTGTTTTTTCTAAACTAAAATGATTATTTTTGTTACAAGTTTAAGGCATGGGACATGTTCTTCACACTTCTTTAGGAGGACCCAGCAACTACCAAAGCAAAATTTATTTGGTAAAACATCATTATTTAGGGATTTGTACTTATAAATCATAACCCTGTTTCGTAAAAAAATACTTGTATTTTCCATTGTAAACAGAGTAACGTAACAGACTGAATGTCTCATTTTTACCTTTTTTTGATTTTCCATCATAAGCTGTTTCTTCTTATTTTTTTGCCCTGCTATATTTTTAACTAGCTCCTTAATTCGTTTTCTTCTCACATTTTCCTGTAGGAGAAATAATGTATATTTCATACAGAATATTGCAAGAATTAAGTTTCACAAATGTATCAAAATGTGTCTGTCTTGCAAGAATCTTGTTACTTAATCTAACAAATAATATTCATTCATAAATCAGATGACCAATAATCGAATAAGACCTAGAAAACCAATCAAAACAATTTTCCTGGCAAATCTTCATAAAATTTGCGGTGAAAACGTAAATTCTAGAGAGTTAAGATTTAGGGCACTGTAAACTACTTTTTCTCAGGAAATGAAATGGTCCATATTAGGACTCGTCCGAGAAATATTTGGGACAAACATCCTGACCATGTTCAACAGAGGCAAAGGAGTGACCATCAGTGTATTAATGTGGATGGACATTCATAAAACCTTACTAAGCCACTGTTTGACGGATGTGTTCTAAAAAAAGAACCTGATATTGAGACAACTTTGCAATTAGAATCGAGGTGAAAAGTAAAACTATAAAAGAGCAAGATGGTTCTAAAATGTACGTCAGTGTTGGTATACTTTTCTGGCCCTTCATTGATGCCAGCAGTATTAAGTGTGGATAATTGAGTACCGCTCAAGACGGTGCAAGGGGCGTGAGGGATGTTGCACTAATTCATTATCCCTCATGTACAGATTCAATCAAACTGAGTCTGCAATTTTCGCGTAATTTTGTTGTGATTAATGCTTCAGGGGAATCACTTTGTTTCCATTTTTTCTTTTCAGTGATACACATGCCAGTGAAGAGCTTGGAAGTTGAATTCCTTTTATTAACAAAACAATATTTTGAAATTTGGAATAATTTTTAATTATCTTAATAATTACATTTTCACACATAAATCATGCTTTGTTGTTTGCTACAAAATTCAAATTCTCCGTAAGTGAGATACCAGGTGATAATAGCCGATTCACTGAGTCACTGAGTGTATAGTGAAATATCTCACAGATGGCGGGAAAATGCAAGGTTTTTTTAATACACTTATTCTCCCAAACCTGTCCTTTTTGTAAATATTTACAAAGGTACTTTATGTTTATCTTTCCATAAATCTACTTCAAATGTTATGTTTCTCAAAATCAAAACTGACATTCCTCGCTTATGTTATTCAATTCAGTTCTAGAGAACAATAATCCTGCTGGTCAGTTTTTTTAATTGATTTTGTTATTGTAACTGCTTTAAAAACACTCATTAAAGGCAGGTTTAAATTAAAGTGTAGCATTCTTATAAGTACTCCATTATAACATTTATACATGTCTCATATAAAGTTGTGCTATCAATTGTTATTAGCCTATGACACAGAAAATGTTACTTCGATATGATTTTGAAATAGATATTGTTATTTTATTCCTGGTAAATTATCAGTAATAATTCCTTGAATCATTTAGTGGTCTCCTGAAAAACTTGTTACACATGAATAGATTATTCCAAGTGTTGTGACTTATCAGTTCATACCGGGTCAACATTGCATCATTTTATATCTCACCTTACAGTTAATTAGCCAGCAACTTGAAAGATGTAGATAAAAGTGATTTATATTTTCCCTGTTGTTCGCATAGTTTCTATACAGACCATAGTACAGAACAAAATATACAAACTGAATTAAAGATAAAACTCTAGAAATTTAAATGATGAATTATAGATATTTTTGAAATTTTATGTGCTGTAAAAAATTCATTGAGTGAAATATGATCAGACCTATAAATATTCTTTAATGTTATTGCTGTTTCTCAAAATACACATCACCTTACCACACATGACGTGTTATATATGCTAACTGGCTTTAATGACGCTGTATCTGCCAAGTAGGACCAGTCCTTTATTAAGCCGTTAAGTCTATCATAATCCATGCTTTTATAGGGAAATGAACCATATTCCGCTTTTATACTCATGAATGAAGTTTATCTATCTTTGAAATTTGATTCTTATGACAGGCATTATGCCTGCTAAAATAAAAAAACAGGTGGCCATAGTAAATCATGATGTTTGCAAACCCCAAAGCGGTAAAATCACTTATTAATTAATCTTGGATATTTTTATTTATTTCCTTACTATTTCAACTCAAAGAAAGTCAAAATATATTGTTCAAGTGATTGCACAGGTTAATGAACAGATATGGTGAGATAACACTGTGAGGAGTGCTTTGCACTAACAGCAGGAATATTTACCTGTTAAATTGTCTAAATTTTGTACTCTTGATGAAATCTTTGTAGTTTTAGCTCATACATAAATCGGAGCAAGTGTGTGCTATAAATAAATAGCATAAATAGTGTTCGCTATAAACAAACAATAATACATTGAGAAATAAGCTTGTATTAGGGAGCCTAACACTTACCAAATTGTCTTCTGTTTCACTATCAGATTTACCTCCGTCAGCCATAATGGGCGCATGTGATGAAACTTGCCTTTTTGCCGCCTTTTTTGTCAAGTCATAATACATAAGACAAAAGTCATAATACATAAGTCATTAGTCATAAGACAAAATTCCTAAGACAAAATGGCACTTATGGGCTTCCGTATATGTCGATAAAGCGGTTAGTCGTATAATGGGCCATATTGACATTGAACTTACAAGCTTAAGTACAGTATTCCTTGTATCGCTATCTCACGTACTGCGTCGGCGTATAGTACAAACAACCTCATTATGTTACACAATCTGTCCAAAATCTATATTGATAGTGTTTAAAAGGAAATATAAGCTTCTTTTCATCAATAAATAAATCTCCTTGTCTCGAAAATAGACAGTTAAAGATAAAAATTAAACAAACCGATGATTTAACTTTACTTTTAAATGTCATCGTTTAATTTTACAAATCACTTTGTAAGATCTTATTTCCAATTTTATATGTAAACAAAATATGATTAACTTCAAACAATATAGGTTTATTAAAAAATGTTTTAAATAGATTCTTTGACTTGATAACAATAACTTACTTAATCATCCGAGATCAATTAAAACACGACCAGCTACTGTCTTCTCCCGATCGAAATTAAATAAGTAGACATAATATGACAATAATTAGAGTAAACACGTATCCGGGTCAGACAGTATGAACTTCAAGGTTCAAGGTTATCTTTACTTGACAAACGCCTGCACTTTTAGAAAGAGCTCCTTCCGCATTGCTTGATATGTTTGCCTTTTAATACGTAAGAGAAATTGATATTATATCTATTATAAAATGTACTCGTCAATAAATTTTTGCCATAAAAGTGACAAAAGGACAAAGGGACAAAGGACGAAATGGTTTTAACATTTTTTTCGTATCTTAATTATTGACTAGTTATAATCACTGTGTTATTTCTTTTATGAAATAAGTTTGATCTAAATGTACTTGTTTTAACATTAACAGCTTTCGTATTATATGTTCGCCTCTTGTGGCTAGTTCAAAAGTTTAATCTGTATATTTTAACTCGAGAACATAATTATAATGTTTATATTGAGTTAACGAAATAATGTTTAAACTATGTATTTGCTATGTGAACAAATACAAATTAAATCAAAGCACAGAAGGCGCTGAATTTGTTCGGGTCTCAGATAATAAACCAATTTGTTTTTGTATAGTGCCACCAATGCTTTCCAGTGTTTTAACTGTAAGACTAATTGCAACACTGGTATTCAATTCAATGTTTATTTGACTAAAAAAAAGAAAAAGAGTTGCCTCTAGTAGGATTTGAACTCCAGACCTCTCGATTCCTAAGCGAGCGTGCAAACCCCTCAGCGGTGAAGTTAAATTGATGGTCTGAAGAAAACCATATTATTCTAAATTAGGGTTTGTAACTTATTATTTCGACGCTAAACGTGTTGTTTAACACAGATATAAATAATCATAGTGCTTACTATAAGCATGTATATCTATAAAGAATAAAACAATATTAGAAATCTTCGACCATTCGGGAACTATTTTGCTTGAAAATTAATGCGCCTGTCATTTGACAATCTTTACGCAGTGAACTCCCCTGAATTTTTAGGCGTAAGTGTAAATATAAAGGGAAGTAACCGCTTCAAAAAAGCGGGCTACTTTCGGCATTTGCAATTAACAGCATCAGGGTCTGAAATTTCGCTACCATTATTTGTTTGGTCTGACGACCCAAACAAATAAAAATTAAGATTAATCAAAATGTGAATTTATGTACAATTAATGTAAACGTCCAATTTGTTCACTGTTTGTTTGTTCAATGATCCCGGTCTATGTCCAAATTCACATTTATGTTTTAGAAAGATTATCGTTATAATTTTTATAAATGTTTTTTTGTCTTGACTCCATTTTTAAAAAAGTGCATGGTAAATGAATTTCCGCCAATAACCCCGTAGTTAAAGTATAAATAGCTGATAACTTTAGGTATATATAAAGTTTAAATGAGTAAATTCATACCCAGTCAGTCATTTTTTTAAGTTTCAACATATAACTGAGCCAGCCCTTTTTGTCGCCAGTAAAAGAATCATTTGTGCTTGATACAAATATTAATAAATTGAAGCAGGTCTCTATTATGGTAAAGGTAAGGTACCGGCATACAGTTTAAAAAGCATCTGGATGTGTTTGTAAAGGAATGTAATACGACAATGTTTCACGAAATGATTGTAATTTGAAACAGCTTGAACTTTATTTTATTTTAATGATATATTTTTGGTCTGTTCTGACAAATAAACTTTTAAGTCAATATTAACCCAGAAAAAAGAAATTGTGCTTTAGTTACTTCGTTTTAGGGATTTCCAATCATAGTTTTATTATATGCAAAAAGTCAGTCAAAAAGTATTGAATAACCTTATAACCGTTTATTTCTTTATCGTAACGTTAAGTGTTTGCAAGGAAAGTAGTGTATGAATAAAATGTGTTCGTCATTTTCACTTTTTTGTTTTCATAATTAAAATCGGTAGAGAAATATAACAAATACGGACCGAATAACATTGATGAACCCGATCTGCACTCTATTTCCTTTCATCTTTTAATTTTTCATTGGTTAACTATTGAATACTTGTCCGAAATGTGGTGATTTCAACCCTTTAGGTGCATATTATTTATATTTCGTTGACAATGTGTGTGTACCTGTATGTTCAAAGGGAAATTTTTTAGTACGATTCATTCTAGAATCAAATAAAGAATCAGACCACGCGAGCTGGTCATACCTTACGCAGATATATGTCATTAGTAAAGTTAAATACACATTCATGATATTCATGATGTAAATGTTCAATAAAAGATAACAATAATAAATATATTCATTTTGAAAACAAATCTTTCATTGACCACGTAACGCATCATGTAGATGAATATCTTATGCATTTGTATTGTTTTGCGGATTTTAATGTTTCTGTATAAACGGGCCACATAATGGTGTCACATATATTAATCGTATTCAAAGATGTACAAGAAAAGCATTGATGCAAAGCATCAAAGGGCGTCCAAGCAAGATATGCAGCAGGTGCAGATGAACTAGTAGATATATAATGACAAGATATTCTTATAAACTGTTCAATGGTTCATTGGTTTTTACCAGAATTGTATATCACTTATGAATGAACGAACGAAAGACATTGGTCATTATTTATAACTTTGATTGGCATGCTAGAAATTAGAATACTACTTGCTATTTCTTTATGATCGTGGTTATTAATAGCAACGGATATACACGTATACAATCATTTATAATCCATATGAGTAACGCATGATCAACACCACACTCTGTGTAATTGTCCCTTATTATGTTATCGCTATTAGCGAAAGACCCCCTCTTAAGCTATCTGTTCACACTTAGTAACAATATGACACTTGTTATATTACCATGTTGAGCATAAATGATTTATTATACACTAATTGTAATATCTTTTTTAATAAAAAATACAGATTTTATGAATTATGTTTTCTTTCTCTTTTTTGTGTTTTATGCACTACTTTAATACTGAGTTTTTACGTTTATTACTATTTTAGAAATTCAATTGTCATAATGACCGACGATTTATAAGTCAAAAACTCAACCAGGAAAAAAGTCAGTAAATTATGGTTGAACTTTCAATATATAATATTGTTTTAAAACCATATACAATATACATTTGTATTTTCTTTATCATTTTTTTAAAAAAATTATCATATCAATTGAATAATTCATAAAATCTGATTTGTAACTTTGAATAATTCCTCGGCATCTTACTAAAACACGAATAACAAATTAAATAAAATGTTTCAAAGTTTGATAGTGTCATATTAATGCCATAAAAATTGTACATTTTTTCTCAATTATTGTACATATTTATTGTTTTTTATCTCATATAGATAAAATAAAACATGCGATTTGTGTTGTTGGTTTTTTTTTCGAATTGTATGTTTATGTATAATAATAAATCAATAAATTTGAGAGTTGATCTATTTTTATTAATTATTTTAACCAAACTAAGTGACAAACATTCATTTTGAAAAAAAAAAGCTTTATTTAATCTGTAAAATTTATTTGTTCTGTTCTGTAACGATATCAAACATCTACTCCAAAAACCGAAGAGACCGCACAATAAACGTGTGGTACTATTCGCCGGTCGTCAAAAGAGACCAGGAGAGACCGGGAATTACCGACAAGAGTACATCCCTCTATAAATAGATTTTCGGAATATTTAGGTCATCAACTCAACATTCTATTTACAGCTTTCGGAATAAAAACATACCATAATAACCCACTGTGTACTACAAAATGATAAATAAAAATACCCCGAAGAGCGCGATTTATTGACGGAAAAGGTTAATTAATTTGAAAATGTTTGCATTGCGAAATTCTCCAGTTCGCTATTCATTGTAATTAATAATCAAGCACCCTCATACCGATCGGAATTATCGGCTTTTATTATGAACAACTATAAAGGCTCGAGAAGTTGCTGTCGCCCTTTCACAAAATCTGATTTCATTACATAAAAGGGCGCCGCGCTTCGGCGCGGACGCCAATCATTACACCCCTTGCCTTGCCCCATTTATTCCCGTATCGGCCCCTTTTAGTTATTACCATTTCACTTATTACATGCCCCTCTCCCAAGTTTTGTGAACGTTGTCTTTGCCTATTTTTTTAATTCATATGAAATTTTATTAAAAATAACCTTATTCAGTGCGGGTTTAAGAAACATTGTTTATACAATGCTCTTGAAAAACCATACTATTTATTTTTAAGTTGGGTTTTCCAATCTATTTAAAGAATGGAATTTCCAATCAAATTGAAAACGCAATAAATATCTTAAACCGAAACTTTGACCTGTAAATATGAAATAAAGTCAACTGAATATGTAGTCGAACTTTATACTTATAGGCCTCGTCTAATATAATATATAGGCCTAATAAAAATTAAATACAAAAGTATCCGATCTTATAAAAATCTGTTTACATAGTAGTTCAAATTATGCATTTTGGCTAAAATGTAAACATTTTTCAACTATGAGACAATAAATGTTTCTCACTTACGATTAGCTTGTTGTTTGAGTTTGTTTCAAAATAATTTATCAGAGAAAGGCTATTTCACACACTTGATTTTGGGATTGAAAGTTTACCCATAGCCGACCTACAACACAAACACAATTATATAACTTTCTAAAAGGGAATTAATTCAAAATAAAATATTCCGAAAGTTTCTTCATAAATTACCTCCTATCAGTGTTTATTTTACTGGTTATGAGTTAAATCTAATGACAAAACTTTATTTATGTAATTCAATTTTTAGGAATTTCGAAGAAAAGAAAGGAAGCCTTTTTTCTTAATCTTACTTAAATCAGACAAAACAATAGCAGTAAATATTATATGCCAATTTTGTAAGACATTCATGTGAATTGGTGTTTATGAGTTCTATACCGTCACTCCAGTCACTTCCAATATAATGTAATTTAATACAAATATGTACATGCAATGTTTGTTATTAACATGCCATGTTTGTTATTATGTAACATTTGTCATTTATGGAATCCAATAAATGCCCTATTTCGTTTAAGTGTTGCGTATTTTATAATACCAAACAAGTTGGTCTTGCCAGTTCTATTTGCTTGACCTGGACAATACATAGAATGTAATTGTTTCACAAAAATGCCGAGAGAAATTCCGTGTAACATTTGATGCATTTTGCTCTCTACGTTTTTTAGTGATGTTTCAAAGCCTTTACATACTTTTTCTCCATTTTATGTCAACATAGTTTTATAGTGAATAAAGACTATACAGCGTCATATAACATACCGGATATTGATGTAGCCAATGAACACCTGCAATTGCTTCAATAATGCAGTGACTAATGAATTTTTAAACTAATGACAACAGTAACAATATGAATAGAAGTAATAGTCATTGACCAACGAATCTTTATGAATTAAAGATACTATGTTCAAATTTGATATTCGAAAATATTGATAATTGCTACACAGTCTCTTTGTAAACATAAAATTAAAAGTGTTTAACTTCATACAAAGTAGATATATTATGTATAAAATTCTACAAACTATAGGTGGTCACAATGTAATCTTTAATTTTACAAATAATCAGCATTGATTAGCTCTTTGTCTTAATCGAATACTTTACCCGTCCATTTAATTATGCATTAATGTTAATATTTGCCAAACACCTGGGTTCACCTAAATAAATATAAATAGACTTGTAATGGAAAAGGACAATTAAGTCTTATTCTGTATTGAATGTAGCATTGTCTCGTGGACCTCAACAAAACTGACATATATCATTCCCCTTGGGTCAATATTTGGCCAGACCCGGGGGCACTTTTGAGTGAAACTAAAAGAGCTTAGCTATAGCATCGCCTTTTACAGAACTCTTGGCTATTTTTCACATGATTTGCTACCGTTCTTTAAAATACCCGAAACATAGAAAAGCTTGTTTTTAAACGTCTTCGGTTGCCAGAGATTTCACAAGATTTCTAAATTTTATGATTGTATAAATCAACTACATCTGTATGATACTGTATACAAACATGTATATTATACGAGGGGTGATCCAAAAATTCGTGGACACGCTGCATAAAACAAAAAGTAATAAAGCAAATCATATGAAATTCTAGTATCTTATTTAGTGAGCATATGTCGACAAATTCTCAAAATATTGTAAAGATTGTACAAGAATTAACGATTTTGCACCAGTTTGTATACATAGACATGACAAAACGCGGCGCAGCTTACGACGTCACAAACGACGTTATGCTTCCATAGGAAGTAATCTATGTTACCGTTTTGCCTTATAACTTTTCAAAGTATTCCCCTTTAACCCGCACACATTTTTCATAGCGGCGGACCGAGTCTCTAAATGTACTCGCATACCATTCTTGGCTGAATGATGACAGTATGCATTGGGTGGCTCCTCTCCACTCGTCCATATTGTCAAAACGTTTCCCTCTCGACTCTTTCTTTAACCTGGGAAACAAGGCGAGGTCACACGGGGAAAGACCAGGCGAATATGGTGAATGACTTAGTACTTCTGCTCAAGAACTAGAGAACGACACACTGACGGTTTATTTGTCACACTTTCGATCATTGTTTTTGTCTCGCCAGGCGTCTTTCCAAGATTTACACAGAACTGTATAACTGTCCGAAGTTTTGCTGGATCCGTGACGTCCATTTTTGATAAAGCTGTTTTTAGCACCTGTCCTTTAAAGCACGGGCGTAAAATAACCGCAACTTCAAAATGTCTTCTAATACTGACAGAATGCCGTCATACACATCAAAACAACGTTATTATAACGTTTCCGCAATTTTCTTTGTTTGCACAGGTTTTACATGTGTTTAAATGAGATGAAAACGTTTACATCACAGAGAAAAAGTAAGCTGCGCCGCGATTTTGATACTTAATGTTTTTATGTTGTCATATATAGATAAAAAATGCAATTTGTGTTTTAAAATTTGGTCAATTTATTAAAAAAGCATTGATTAATAATATCCAAAGAGTTCACCTCGGTTAGACGTCACGTTATGGAGATACACACATTGTCCACGAATTTTTGGATCACCCCTCGTATGTAATGTAATATTTATAATTATTTACCATTGAAAAAATATTTGAAACAAATTGTTTGTCTCTGTTTCAAAAAAAAAAAGATAGAAAAAAATGCAATAGAGTTCTGCTCAGGCTTGCCTTAGCAAAGAAGTTTGATTTTCTAGCCAGGAAAACTCATGATCTCTTCTAGTTTATTCTCGAAATGGTATCTTAAAAAAAACATATCATGTCTCGCAAACGAATAATTTTCATATGTTGAAAGGGCAAATATTTTTTTAATTGCTGTAATAATGGATTTATAAAAGATATAAGATGCTGATCAATAGAATGAATTATCGATACATGTTTAATATTTGTGACAAGGGTAGTAACATGTAAACAAAGTGATATATTTGACTTCCATGCATACTGTTACTTCACAGTATGTGTATTTTTTTGTTATAACGCAAACAAAGCAAAGATGGTACAGCTATATGCCTTATGTGAATCACAAAAGATAAAATGCTTTTGTAAAATAAAGTTCAAAGAATATTGAGGGGTAAATGGGTCTTTTAATCCAAACACAAACACACATAAAAAGTAGTACACTTTTATTTGATAACTTTGATAAACATTTGTTAACAAGTTGATGTTAATTACGAAAATCATTCAATAAATTGAATCAATGTTACCTAAGTATAAGAAACATTGTTAAACAAGGTCGCTTTAGCCAATGTTTGTAAGATAATAATCTACAATATGAAAAACAAGATCAAAAGCAAGTGCGGCATTCAATCAACCTTGGTAAAATATATGCTTAGTAAATTATTATCTTAAGAGTGAACACCTTGCGAACAAGCGTTCAAATATGGAATGATCCTCGCAAAATGTATAAGAAAACAACAACAAAAGATACTACTTTGTCAATATGACATGTTCATTTTACAGTACAGTGAACATCGATTAATACTATTTACGTGCTAATATAATAATGATTTCAGTAAGTTACATTGTTATTATGGCAAAAAGTTGCAAAAAATTATCAGCATATTTTTTTATAATTTGTTGTATACACCGTACAATGGAATTCATAAAGGTATTTGAAACATAGTCAATACACATAGTGTATAATCTATAAAAATATTTAACAATAAGGCGCCCACTGAGTCTATAATTACATACGTCTTTCCTAGCCAGTAAGACAGAATATGTTTCTGTAGACATGCATTACATTCAAACAAAAATCATTATTTTAACAACAGTAACGATAATATTTGCAAAAGTAACATTGCTGTAGTTAACTTTGATTAGTCATTGTATATTGACCTAGACTTCATCAATAGTATTTCAACTCTTGCATTATGTAACAAACGAGTTAATGTAAGTTGAAATAACATTGCAAACATTAATGGTCATAAGTTACAGCATGCAATGTTAATAAAACCTTTGTTTTAATCAACAACACTATTTTATGATAATCAGTTTTTTTGCTGTTTTATCTAGTATGCAACTTACAGAAATGTTATAATTAAAAAAAATCAAAGTTAATCTATTTGTCAAGTTTAAACAGATTACGAAATTGAATCCCTTGTTAGCCGCTAAGAAATTTTGACATGATATTACAAATACTTATCTCATTACATTTTAAATGTAAACAAGTCAATTCACTGTCACTTTATGCAAGGAAGAATAACACTCTGTAATTAAAACCGCATTTTGACACCAATTAATATAACATGTCTAATTGAAAAACAAAAAGTATGTGCAGTTTCCATGCCATTACCTATAATTCGTAGTTATGTCTTGTAAATGACAGTGTTTTCCCCATACATTTGGGACAGAAGGGAGATGTATTTGTTGAAAAGATACGATTTTCCTGTATGCTGTGATTTAGGTTGTTACCACACTCAAGAGAGATTTTATATATTCTTATGTATATAATTATGCTTCTAAATATGTAAAATTCATACTGCAAATATTGTACTCATTAAAATACATCATTTCATTTCTTATTGATGAATTTGACTTAGACTTTATAGAAAATAAATTCTTATTTATAGATTATAAATTTTTAGTTACCTTACTTTCTTAAAATGAAAATGTAAATTCGGTAATTTCTTTACAAATAATGGTTTTTGAAACTTACAATATTGGTAAATCTTCATTTGAGCATTATATTTATGATATAAAACCATAAAAATGAGTTACATGATCTATAAAATGATAATTTCTAATAGTATTGACATCTAAGTGATTAAACTGTACATATTGCTTTTGTCTATATTTATTATAACATAGTAACATAGTATTGCTGATGAATAGAAAATATTCAGCCAGGTTTGTTATGCAAGAAGTCATATCACACGTCGTCAAATACGTCACACGAAAGACAGTTGACATTTGTTTATGATTGCCGAATGTGTGTTTGTTTGTTTTCATTTTCAAACAAATTAGAAATGCAATATGTGAAAAGTTATTTGAAAGAGTTTATGTCTCTATTATTCTGGAGGAAACAACTTGGTTCATATTTTACCTCCTTACATTCATCAAAGCTTTGACTGGAGTGTTGCACACTGGACAAATATCATATAATAAGTAACATATATTGCAGAACAAAAGATGTGGACAAGGGCAACTTAGAAACACAATTTCACGAAATTCGACCTTACAATGGCGGCAAAAGAGTATGTTTCTCAGTCTTTGGTTTTCGATCTGCAGCTCCCACATCTCATCAATACCATCACATGATATATCAAGTGAGGCTGTAAAAAATAAACAAACTACTGAATATTTTTAAATAAAATCACAAAATGATAACTATAATAATAAGGATAACGCAATTTTATAAACGAAATTATATCACAATTCTAAAAAGGGTACAAGCTTTAAAAACAAACATTTCATGTCGCTGTCTATAAAATGTTTTGTTGCAGTGTTTTCTTTAAATAAGACATGATATCATAAAAAGTGTTGCATGTGTGGATAATCTAGAATGAAATTTTTAATAACAATAGTTTTTCTTATTGTGGAACAAATATTAACGACCTGAATTGATAAAAATGGTAATCGTATATGAATCAATACAGCAAACATCACATTTATACCATGGTAATAGCAAATGATATTAATATTAAATTAAAAAACAAAAGGGACACATACTTAAACAATTAAGAATATTTATGAAAAAGGTAAATGATTATTTATATATCAGTTTTAAACTTGTTGTAGAGATGATGCACTTTCAGCACTTAACCATACATTTGTAAAAAAAATTCTTGACCTATAGCCATGCTCTTAATTGATAATTGAAACTATAGGCAAATTTTCCTTTGTTGAATACTTCTGGCTTTTCATATTTTCATGTTTATGTTAATTAAATGGCCCGTAAATAGGAACATGTTGTCCCGGGACCGTGAGTTGAACAAATTTGATAGAACTACACAAGGCAATTCTTCTTTTAGTTAACATAATAATTTTACCTATACTTTCAATTTGCCAAAAAAATTATAAAGTTTTTAATTGTTATCTTCCCCAGCCAGATGTATAGATTCTCCAATTCAAATGCTGACATACACAATATAAGTAGTTCCATACATTGTATTAGCAATGAAACCATTTAAAAATAAAATGCACTACATACGTGTTTCAGTTCTGAATAATTCCGTTGGTCCACTGTATGAATTTGTCGCTGGAGGCAATTCGGACACAACGACCGATTCAATGCTAGCGCTCTTTGATGACGCTGAACTAAAATAATTGATGCCAATCTGATTCTCTGGTGTGCCTTGGACCAAGGCGGATGCTTCATCTTCTAATTCAAAGATTTTCTCCATCAAAATTGTGGCATTTAATGCCCGCCCATCTTAAATATTAATAAGATATTTTTAATCTGCATGCATTACAATGTTGTTTATGACTGTTTATTTCTATGTTGTTATGGTTTTTACTCTATTAAGAATATATACCTGTACTTGTCAGATTGTGTTGCTTGGTGATGTACATCTGTCATTTCGTTTTTAACAAGCTTGCATATTTGTTTATGTAGTTTATGTCATTGGTGTTTCTCATGGAATATTTTTTCTACTTAAATGGTTAATTTTAAAGAATGATGAAAACGTTATAAAGTGTTTGCATCTCATCCAATGTCGGGAAGATCGCGAATTTATGTGATTTTTTTTTATATATGGTTTAATTTTTAATTAATGATATCTGAAGAGATTGATTTGCTATATCTTTATCTGAATACATGAAGCTTACAACTTTACTAATTTAAAGTATATTTAGTTTCATCATCTTGTTTGCACAATTAATAGAACATGCTAAATTATTTAGACCATTCATAAAAATTACTGTCTATATTTGCTGTTTCTCGACATCATATTTGTAATGATGTAACAGTTATTATATGTCATTTGATGCATGTGTGAATTGTATAGATTGTAGTTTGCCAGCCTTTGCCAAAGCTGATTATTGCAAATAACCTATTAAATTGAAAATATTGAATATATTTATTTTCCGTAAAACATTGTGTTTCTCACATAGAATAAAATGATAATTATCTACAATTATTGCCCTGTAGGTCACTTCTTCAGTCAGGTATAAAGATATATATCAGTCCTTGTTTGAAAATTGGAAGAAAATGTATATCCAACTCCATTACAGTATAAAATATGCTTTACAACAGAAACCAGATTTGGCTTTTCATTGCAGCAATCACTTAATAACAATGAATAAATTTTCGATACGGTGCAATTGTTTGAATGTATGATTTTTTTACCAGATTTCTTCTCACAAACTTAATAAACAATTGACAGGCCCCAGTAAACACCAGCATTTCTTGCACTTAGTATACGTTTACAAAATTTGAAATGAACGCTTTCGAGCTCCTTACACTTTACATCTTCATATCTTTGCCGAATTATTAAGTAGTGTTAAAAATTTAGCATAGCCGTAGGTGTTAGTTCAAACTATTAAGCGTTTCATAAGAAAGAACACTTTCTTAATAAGTAAATGTAAAATCCGTTCGAGTCAAATACTACGCTGAGGTTATTAAAGTTCTTTGCTTTTTCGAGTTGAATGTCACAATAGGAACACTGTTCGTTTTCTGTCAAACCACTCCGCTTGCTTAAAACTATCATTTTTGTTTTTCCATGTTGACAGTTAATTGCCAAAATTTAATTTATCAAAGCTCCATTTCATCGATAGTATCCGCCATTAAAATCATGTCGGCAGCATAGAGAAGTAATATTATACTTAAACCATCAAAATCAAGGCCGCTGTCTCTAAATTTTCTATAAAGTTAGCCCCTACTATCTTAACAATCCTGTGTAATCCAGTCTAATATTATGATGTTGATCATGTTCCATGAAATTCTCGGCCAGAATTTTCTATTAGCTACATAAGTCAAGCTTTATCGTCGTACGTTAGAACTCTTTGTTATCATTTTTAGAACGAATTACATAAAGGTTATAAATTCAAACGTATCCTAAAGATTTCAAAATATGATATGTTAAGAAAAAAATAGTTGTAAGTTTAATATTATCTGTGTTTGCGAACTCATCTCTTAATTCTTCCATATGGCTGGAATCTAGGGGAAAGTCAAAAAACCCAGCTTATCTGATGACGTGATATTACAGTTACGTTAATTAAAAATAAAAACTTAAATCATTTACCATCTCTATTTCTTATTGCACTTAGAGCATTCCGTATAACATCTTGACTGTAACCCATCTCTAGCACACTTTGGACAGCATCTGTATGCATTTGGCGCTCTATTTCAACATTGGCAGAACACTCGTTGGTTGATGCTTATAAATACATAAAAGTCTGATCACAATAAAGTGTTAAAATATGTATTTTTTAAATTTCTAGTTTCTACTTCTGTAATATATTTGTCATACATTTTAATTGAATTTCAATGTGTGGTCATTAATTTCAAAGTCCTTAAATAATATATCTTTTGCCCACTGACTACTAGTACTTCCAAAAAAGTTAGAATTGTTACAAATAACGTTTTTCAACAGAAGCAAAAACAGCTAGTGGAAATCCTCATAGACTACAACAAAGTATACAACAAGACATTAATGGTACCAATTTAAATATTTTTCATATATCATAATTTTAAACTGATCTCACCAGCTTTATTGGTGACTGTAGCCTGGCTGTTTCCATTTGTCTGTTAAAGTAAATAAGTAGATGTATATATATTATCATAATAAAAACACTGTAAATTAAATACATTATTTTATTCATTTTTTTTAAACCTGAAATGTTTATTGGATGAATATTTATACAAGTACACATATCCATTACTCTACTCTGTGCTGTATAAGGCAGACTATAACTTCTATTTATATATAGGAAGTAATATCGGTCTGGGTGGTATAAATCGGATTTTATATACCGTTTGCGATGAACATCGAGGTCTTTTGCCCGAGTGGCTGATATCTTTGCGTCAAGTCGACATACTACATGTGATCCCAAAATGACGAATATGGAAATTTGCATAGGTTACTTTTCAAGTGTTGATTGCCGATATGCACATTTCGCAGCCTACGCTTAGGTAAAATATAAAAAATAAGGAAATGAAGAAATCTTTTTCATCCTAAAGAGAATGGGTTTCTTTTTTTTATCAAGTATAACTTGATTAACCAATCAAAGAAAAATGTCAATCTGCATCTGCGACTTAATTATCTTCACATCGGTGCTAGATAAACTCAACTTCACACCACATGAAAAGTGAGTCGCGGGTATTAAAATGACGTCATTCTAGCACTTTTACTGACTATGAATGGTGTAATATTCTTGTTATACTTTATCAATTGAAACAGGTTAAGATGAAATTCAACATACGGCGCATTAATTGTTTGTGAAGTATTATTTAGTATGAAATGAAACGAAAACATAATAAATAGAAAATACAAAAGCAAATTATTTTGAATGTTGCTTTAGAATGTTAATATGACTGTATGAAAAGAACAAGCGAATATATTTCTTCATTTAGTTGGTTGTAGGAGAGCGGGTTTCATTGGCAGATACTAAAACCGGTTTCTTTCTTCTTTGTTGAATATGACAATATCTTAATATCAGGAATTTTATATAAACAAGAACAAAAAATTACAAGTTATGATAGAATTTTTCATAAAGATTGATTAATTTGTTTTAATGTTAAATAGTATTACCAAGCGTAACAATTCCATGATGACATTAGAAACTTACATTCTGAGAATACTTTACAGCCATTTGTACAAGATTCACGAACTCTTGACCTCTCACGTGTTTAACAAATAAACAATCCTTTGACCATCTACTATGTTCGATCCAAGGATCATCTTCTTCTGACCAATGACAAAGACCTGAAAATCAAGTTTATTTACAGGCAATCATATTGAGATAATGAAAAACGAATATTATCCCGTAAGTTATAGAAGATACGCTTCAGATCAATTCATTACGCCAAAGGACCCAAAAATATAACAAGACTGTTATCTATCTTAGCAAGTATACATTAACGTATATTAAATTCAACAGAAGATAAAATGAAAGTAATATACGTTGTGTTAAGTATCGTCAGACATATCAATCAGATAAACAATGCATGAAAACACATTATTTATAAAGCAATTAGAATGTGAATACCCTCTTTCTTTGGAATAAAAACAAAATTGGCAAATAATAAAACCTGTTAAAAAATGTTAACACAAACAAAAATATTGAACATAAAATGAAACTTAAGATGAAACATAAAACTCATTTAAGAGACATGTAATTACCCATATGGGTAAGAGTCATTAGAAATTTATACGGCAAAGATAGAAAAAGTATGTCAAAAATTAAAGTTACATCAAGACTAAGCGATGGCAGAACTAGAGTGGCAGCAATTGATGGCAAATTGAAAAAGAGATATACACATATCAGACAAATATAAGTTAACACAGATAAGTTTCAAAAATAGCAATAATCTTTTATCTATGGTAACAAACACATTTAATAATTATTTAATAAAAAATAAAATCATATTTAAAATTAACGTATATATATTTTTGAACGACATTATTACAATATGTCAGAAGAATAGTAATGGAAAAATTGAGGGTCGTGGAAAACGTGGATTTTATGAATTAGAAAAATAAAATAAAAATACCTCCTTCAAATGTATTTCTACACACTATGATACATGCATACAATAAAAATACTAAATAATCTCTTAGCAAAGATAAACCCATTAAAGAAATATATATAATTCTGAAACAGTGAACAAAAAACAAAAACTATATCATCGGTAGCAAAGAAATGTATATAGTATGCTCTAAATTCGTGCTAATCAACCAACCATAAGTTCTTAAATCGGCACAAGCGGAATACAAAATTGCAAATGTTTGCACTCTCAAGCCTCTTTTCACCTTTTATTCATTACCATTGACTTTGACATTCGTACGATACTTTCCTGTTCGTGAATCGATGCAATATTTAAACTCACTGATGAGTTTCTTCTCCTTTTAATAAATACTGTAAAGTACTTACCAACTCCACATTGGAAGCACCTAACACAGTCACCAAAACCAGCATAGAAAAATCCTGAGGTAGCTAAACTATCTGGTGGTATCACAATGTCTCCACAATCATTGTAGCTTGTCACCCTGGCAGTTTTGCTTGCATACTTAGAATATTTTGGTAAAGAAAATCTGTCAGCCCCTTAAATAATATGCATTTATCAATGTCAGGTTTATTTTCCTAAACATTAAATTACGTCATGTGTATCAATAATCTCGAAAAGATGATGGTGGTGTAAAATCATGAGCTTCAACCCCATCCAGTTTACAATCACTGCTTCTAACGTTGTATTTCTTTTTTCTTAACGCAGTACACCGCACAAAATGTAACAAATCGAGAAGCAAAGCATCAAACATTCTCTAAAACCATTATTTAAAAATTAGATGAAATTCATGTTAGAAGTAAAAACTTATTTGTTTCTGAGGCATTATGTGCTTTTAATTTTTAACATAATTCGACAAAACTAATTAAGGCTACTCGGTGTAGCGAAGGTTTACATACCGATCTTTTGAAATTAATACAAATATGAACATGATCTGCTTGTTAAAGAAGACTGTTTAGGCAAATAAAAAAATAGTTACCAAAATTATTTAATACTAATTCGTTAGTTCTTCCCTTTTGTAAACACAAAAGACACTCCTAAAATCTCTAAAAACAGTCCCAATGGTATTTAAGAGGCAAATGCTACGAAAAATGCTGTAACTGACCGTTTCTAAGATATTTAAAGTTCCACATGCTGTACAGTATTAACCACACAAAAGCCGCGACAATTCGAATTTACCTTGAAAAAAGGATCGTATAGGCCGCTCAGGCACACAGGCTTGGGCCGATACGATGGATTAAAATTTACAGACCTGCCTTAATGTACTGATCTTTTGTTGCGGTTAATTGGTCACGAAACGACTTAAATAAACAATAAGTCTTGATGATTTCCGGTATTTCAATATAAGTTTCTTGTTATTGTGCAATCAGTTGTCTCAAAACCAATAGATAAATGAAATAATTCTAGACGGAATTCCACAGTTTGCCGTTAATGGGTCAAAAATACGTAAAATGTGTGGCAATTGAATCGAAATGATTATCAAAAGTAAATGTCATGGTCAATTGTTTTCACTACTGTTATTTACTTGTAGTTACCATGAATAATGTACTGGTTGTTACGATTTGTTATGTTTTTATACTTTTAAAACTATATCGGTTAAATATTATATTGTAAGGTTTGTCTCTTTGTCTATGAAACTTACTTTTCGTGTAATTCTTATGCAGTATAAATTGCCTGTCAGAGAGAAATTATTAAGATGGGTTTTCATTCATTTTATGACTTACAGACAATTTAGGAAAATAAAATTAACGTATATATGTCGACGAACCTTAGGAAGTGTCAGTTTTTTACGTTTATGCAGCGGCTAATTTTCCGGAAAAAAATCGATACAACGCTAGCAAAATGTTCACTCCCTATCGATGTGTTTTGTTTGCGACGCCGAAGACCAAAATGTTTTCCACATGCCAGATTGTTTTCAAACATACGAGTTCATCAAAACTCTTTATTTAGTTTCACTAAAATAATCGCCGTAAAAGATGCATTACAAGTGTTTACCTTAGTGTTAATGCCATTAAGGCAAATATACAGTCATGAAGTTTGATATAAGTTTAAGTAACTGATTAAACACTGGAAAATATAATAAACAGTTTGATTAATTCATACTTACTACGTTGAACACAAGAAAGGACATCTTGAAGAACAAGTTCTGTCTGTTCAGTTTTCATCTTCAACTGTTGCAAGCACTGCAGTGAGCACAAATCGTTGTTAAAGGATTGATAAAGTACTTAACACTTCGGACATACTCGTACTTGACATTAATTTACGATTTTTAGCAACTTTTTCTATTCAGGGATAAGAAGATTTTAGGACAAAATTATTGATTGTAGTAGTCTATTGTAGTGTTCACTTGTGTTACTACACAGGGATTGAAAGCTTATCTTGCATAATAAGTAAGAAATCAATTTGTGTTTTGGTTTGATATCAAGACAGATCATCACCGTGCTGTGTTTGGTGGCACCTCAGTTTTATATATGAAGGAGTATTTTAGAAGCACCCCACTACCTCGATCCCCCAGATATGTTCAAGTCTTATTGTATTTTCTGACCAAAGGTCAGTAAATACATAGCTGACATTCAATCTCTGACACAGAATCTCCCGACAAACCTAACAACAAGTAGTTCCCAAAACAGCTTAAAACTAGCGATTTAAAAGAAAGAAATATTTTTATTTTGTTACAAGTATCCAACAAATTACAACGCATTCAAAGTTTAAAAGTAGCGTTGTCTTATAGAATTGTCAATAAATGTACAATCACAAATTACGCGGATGAATTTGATTTTAATCAAAGAAAATGCTATTTTTAGCGATGTCGATTACCGAATACTACACAAATAAATCTGACTGCCGAGTAGTGGAATATATAGATTCTACATGTCGGACTGTTTGGGCGAGATGATTTTCGCTAAATTATTTACTTCAATTTTAAACAACAGGTTTATCCTGAACCAAATACCTCGAAATTAATAAGGATTACAAACCTGGAATGCAATGGAAGTTCTAAATTTAGAATGACTAGATTTTATTCAGACAACGTTTATATAACTTCTCCGTGGTGCAGGGGTAACGCGCTCGTCTAGTGTGTGAGAGGTCTGGAGTTCAAATCCCAGTCGAGGCAACTTTTTTTAAATTCTTTTTTAAGTGATTTGTAAAGGAAGTAGCCATGATATGCAATGTTTAAGTGTGGCTGTCATAAAAATGAACATAAATGATATTTTGATCCAACTCTACTGTAGTTATGCAAAATCCGTATGTATCAAACTCTGGTGCTTTGCAAGATGAATTATAGTACATAAAAATAAACTTATACAGGAAAATACATACAGATATACAGTGCGATTTAGATTGCAAAGATCAGAAAATACCACAGAGCTTGCAGCCCTTTGATATTAAGTAGGCATCAGAGTAGAATCACAGACCTTTCATATGCTTCCTTTCATGACAGAATTAAAATGTGCCTGGCTGTATTTAACTACACATACAGTCCAAAAACATAAATCATCTTAACATTTTCGCTAAGAAATAAATGAATAATCATCTTACAACTTTTAAAAACGTTATATCTAACCTGTTCAATACTCGAATATTCTTCTCCAATTTCTTTACTGGCCAATTTCTCTATTATTTCTTGCGAACCAATTATTATTTTTGATGTTTCTTCTATAACCTGCTGTATTTCATTCATTTTCTCCACAACCGTTTTATGCGCCATTTTAAAAGCTTTTCTCACTGATTGATACGATAACTGAAATAAGAAGCTTGTGTTGCTCAAAGTGTGTATTTGTACATTTGTATTTCTGTTTCTGAACATCAACAATTGCTCATTCAAGTGAGGTTTAAATAAACTCTTATACGTTTTGTTTTTCGAACAATGAAACATGCTTGAATAAACTCTAATTATTTGTCAATATAAATATGAATGAGTTAAGCATGTATGATGACAGCAAGGCTAATATTAAGTGCAACAAAATGTGAAATATTTACTTAACACTTTAAAAGTCGCATCAACTTTTTATGTACATATGATTTGACTACATTAATATATTTTGACATGAATATACATATCACCGGATTTAACGTAATTTAGCTAACCTGAGCACAAAGTGCTATTGGTAAGCTATTATCATAGCAATATGCTCTGCGTCTGTGTTAGTCGAAAACATTTCATACAATCGACATCTCCTCTAGGTCAAATATAATGATTCTTGTCTAAGATGTTTTGGGATAAAGTTCTACCACAATACTGGAAATGGTTCAATCTTTTCAATATCTAGGTCAAAGGGAGGCTTAAATATTTTTTAAACATATTTTAAAATTTCATGTTTTGAAATTTCCCTGAAGATGACATTGCCTTACATCGAGGCTATCATGATTTGAATTGTTCTCATATTTTGAACATTGAAAATTCTCTCCGTAAAGGTGACATTTGTAACACTAAATTTGGGAACAACTTCAAGTTTGTTCAAGTTCAAATTATGGCTCCAAGATTAACTACATTTGAAAAACGTTTAAAATGTTTTACCGTAATTGCAGGGCTTACATCTTCACTAGTTTGTATATAGATCACTACCACGTTTGGTCAAGGTATTTTGCGTCACAAAGAATCTGTCTTTTACGAAGCTTTGATAAGTAGATAGATATTTATTTAGGTTAAAACACACATATGTACATTATACATACACTTATGCATTATTATATAAAATGGCATTAAAACAAAACTGTAATAAAACATTTCAAACATAACTATCACAGGAGGCTCATTAAATAAAAACTAACTAGAAATTACAATTTAGACAATACCAAATCTATATTCGTCTTTCGTTTGACTTGATATTAATTCACAAAATATTGAGAATGTGACTATGTAAGAAAAAAAGCACAGAGTGAGTAGTGTGCAATAACCTCAGATTGACAATAAAAGCCCGAAGGCTTATTTCCAAAGGGAACAAAACAGTAGCCACTACAGTGTTTTTTATTGGAATTTCACTGTCACCGCATACAGAATAAACATATCTTGACTCATACTTATAAAAAATAAAAGAGTACACAGAATGCTACCCTGGGGAACCCCACATGTAACAGGCATACACTTCGATAAAATATTATCAACACTAACAGTTTGTTTTCTACCTTCTAGATAAGGAAACAGCCAGACAGTATTTGAGGTACTCATCAATTTTAGTTTTACACAAACATTATCATGGTCAACAGTATCAAATGTCCTTTGTAGGTCTCACATTGTCATGCTTGTGTCTAAACCTTAGGAATTATTATTTCTGATATGATTTATAAGATGGATAAGACACGTGTCAGTGGAAAAGGAACTCTAAACTATGATTGTAGTACAATAAATCAATATCAACTAAAAGCTTCTCAAGTTGTGAATACACTGATGTTTCTAAAAACTGTTATACAATGCTTTAAATGCTAACAGGTCTATTAATTCCCATTTCAAGATTACTGTTTTTCCTTACGAAATTTTGCATTGGTAGTTATTGCATTCATGCGTGTCTAGAAATGGATCGACTTCTCTTGAGCATGCGCGTAAAAAACTTGAAAAAGATAAAACAAATATCGGCCTGTGTCGTTCGATGCATTACCCATCCCCAGTGAGGGTAAAAATGTGTTTCTTAAAAATTATAGGAAGTCCGCGCACAGGTGCTCGTCCAGTCTTGGTGCCCATATAAAAAATGAAGTTTTAAAAAAAAAATTGAAAAAAAAAAAAAATTTGAAAAAAAAAGAAAAAACATCAAAATTACTATTTTGGGTTGAGTGTAAGAAAAAAAAAATTAAAAAAAATTTTTTTTTTCCTATATAATTTTACTACGAAAAGGTCACTTAGTCGCCGTAACGCTACGGAGCTTTACTAGGACACACCGTGGAACAACCACAATGTCAAGTTCTGTAACAATAAAAGCTATTTTGCTACTCTTTACACATTGTGCATTTAGAAAATTGTTAACATTCTTATTGTACCTTACATACAATCTTGAATAACTTACATTTTAACTCACACACTTTAATTTGTTAAAATTTTGCAAAACAACAGTGATTGTCGGCCATTTTGTCGAAATCGAAAGTACAAAACATACACCGTACTGTTTCGCTGTTCTGGTCCCCTATGACTACGTTCGCTGAACAATAGACAACAGTAACCAATAAATTGATGGTTACCGTTGTCTACTGTTCCTCGCACGTAGTCGTAGGAAACCAGGAGAGCGAAACAGTACGATGTATGTTTTGTACTTTCGGTTTTGACAAAATGGCCGACCATCAACGTAATTTTGCAAGATTTTAACAAATTGGAGTGTCGGAGTTAAAATGTAAGTTATTTAAGATTGTATGTAAGGTAGATGAAGAATGTAAACAATTTTCTAAATGCATGATGTGTAAAGAGTAGCAAAATAGCTTGTTTGCTACAGAACTCGACATTGTGATTGTTCCACAGTGTGTCCTAGTAAAGCTCCATAGCGTTACGGCGACTAGGTGACCTTTTCGTAGTAATGGTATATAGGAAAAAAAAAAAATTTTCAATTTTTTTTTCTTACACTCAACCCAAAATAGCAATTTTGATGTTTTGTTTTTTTTTTCTTTTTTTCAAATTTTTTTTTTTTTTTTTTTTTCATTTTTTTTTAAAACTTCATTTTTTTTTAAATGGGCACCAAGACTGGACGAGCACCTGTGAGTCCGCGTAGGGATGACGATTTAATTTTATAAAACACAATACATGTACATGATCTTTTCAAGTGATTAAAACTGTTTATTGCTTCCAACTGTTTTTCAGACTTAAATATTGCAAGTGCAATTGATAGTTCGACTGTGATACTATTTATTCAAATAGTAAATAGTCAAAACTACTTTCACTTTCGGCTTTAAACTAACAATGGATGAAATACTGTCACACGTGTTGAACGTAATTGGGTATGTAAAACCACTAGGAGTGCTTGATGCGTGTTTTGAGTAAAAATGATGTAATGGCTATTTTGCCAACAGGGTATGGACAAAGTTTAATTTTTCGAGTGACCCCATTTGGGTTAAAGATAAAGTATAATTTGGTTTCTCAAGCCGCAATGTTAAGAGTAGTGCGTTCCCATCATGCTTAGAGTGGTTTCAATGACTGATAAAATGAACGGAGCATACGCGTAACTGTATATTACGAAATGTGTAGGTATACTTTATCTAGAAATTTATTTTGAACAGAAAATGTTTATTAAAATAAAATGATATATAATTATAAGATTTACTACTACAAGTTTAAAAGGGAGTAAGAAATGTCTTGGATATTTTTTCAAATTTTTTTAAGGAAATACTTTTTTCCGGATACAAAACCTAGAAGTAAGTGAAAAAAATATATTTTGAATCGGATCTAATGAAGGTAAGTGCGCTTTATTTTGTGTGTGTGATTTTGTTAATGTTAGTTTTCATCCGTGCTGTTCTATATAGCTAAGTCCGTAAGTGTCAAGTTTTATTTGGCCTTACTCATATTCACTTTATTACGTCACTACTCGGTTTTATGAAACACTATAAAAAAATAGAAGGCGACTATGAACAATATTCGATATAATATCGACTTCTTTTCTTCTATAAAAGTTAACACATATAATTTTTAAGAAATACAGCGTTTTCATGGGATGACAAATAAAGCTGGACACTAATAGTGAACAAAAAAGAAGAGAAGTAAATGTATAGTTACTCAATTCTTTTGGAATCCCTGTTGTAATTTTCTGAAAATTGTAAAGGCTATAATTAGAATTTATACGAGTTTTCTAAAAATATCGCTTCGGTATAATTTTATGAGTCATTTTACAGCATATAAAACAACATCCATGAACAAGAAGAACATGTTAAATTGTATCAATAAATCCACGTAATTTTTATTTGTTTGGGTCTTCACATATTATACGTAGATGCCTTTCCTGGATGTGTTTAGTAATTTATGTATTGTAAGTTAATTACCAACGGAATGTTGAATAATACCCGGAAGCTTAAACTAACCACATTTAAACTTCAAATTTACTATACGTTTTATAAATTGTAAGGATTATAAGTTGTTCTACAAGATGAGGGACAAAGAAAATATAAGTAACAAAGTTCATACCTTTATTATTTACTCCTAATAAATGGCATTACACAATAATTATAGCTGTTGTGAAATGTCATAAACATGTACTATACAGTGGGCCTGTCTAAAACGCGGACGCCTTAAGCGGACAATATAAACATATAGGGAAAACGCTGACAATATAGACAAAGAGGAAAAAAGCGGACGATATGGATATATAGTGTGGACTAACTGGTGATGATTTTGGGCATTGATGAAGTTTATAAAAATGACGTGTAATTGGATTTATACTTTAATATATAAAAAAATATAATAAATTAGCAAATTGGGAGAAATATTAAAGTAATTTATGATTGAATGTCAATGAATTTTATATTATATTTATATGACACATTTTCGGAATTTCTAAATATTGAAAACTAATATATGAAACAAATGGATCAAATGAATGTCTTTAGAATTACAATGATGGTACTAAATTGGCAACAGCTGATATGTAATTAAGGATATGTATTTCATTTTGGCATTGTTTTTGTATGTCTTTATGTGCAGTAGGCGGACAAAATTTTTGTTCGCAAAATAAAAAAAAGCCTTGATTTTTCAAAATCAAAAGTTTGTAAGAGTAATTTTTAATCATAAATTATTGATATAAATAAGTAATGACAGGCTGTTGTTTTTTATTGATACAATATAAGCAGAAGCGTGCTGCAAATTAACGGTAATTATATAAGTGTGAACAACACGCTACTGATTAATCGTGTCGGCACTTAGCTAGAGATAACATGATACGCATTTTGCGGACAATATAGATATATAGGGAAAACGCTGACGATATAGATATAGAGGAAAAAAGCGGACGATATAGAAATTTAGAGTAGACGTATACTCTTGTGACGGACACGTGTTGCAAATTAACGACAATTAAGTGTCAACAACATGCTACCTGATTGAACCTGTCCGCTCTTTGCCCTATTTTTGCGGACAATATAAATAAATAGAGAAAAAGCGGACGATATAGATATAGAGGAAAAAAGCGGGCGCTATAGATATAGTGTAGAATGATGTGTGAGATAAAATTATAATAAAATAGATAATGATAATGTATAGTAATATTGTGCAGTAATAAAAACGAAGATAAAGAATGAACTTCATTGCAATTTTATTTAAGCAATATAACACATTCGGTACATGAATTTATTTTACACATACAAATAATAATATCAATGTAACAACTCAATATATGTATATAGCTATAAAGAATATAATAAATTTAATAAACTAATATATTAAAGTGAATCTTAATAAATGTAAAATATATTATAAAAAAGTTCGTTTTTCCTTTAAGAACATAAACCACAATCAAAGTCATTATCAATGGATGACACATCAATGGGGGCATTAATACAATTTTTATGGAACCATTTATTACATTTATCACATAAAACCATATCATCAAGGCATTCAGGTAAATTACATAGACAATAATTATAAATATTAATAATTGTATCACTATATTGTTTCCTTTTACTTAAAGTTTTCTTAGTTAATGGAAATTCCGTCATTTCTTTTCGTTCAAAACAATTTAACAAATGTTCACGGATTTTATTGGAATCGTAAATAAGATCTGTACAAAGACGTTTACGTAAACAAAAAGAAGTAATAAAAGCAATTGCATACAATCCACCTACACTATTATTTTGTTTGATAACATTTGGTACATTAACTGCTATTGATGATTTATTTGATCCATAAAGCTGGGATAATTGAATTTTCAAGCCGTTTGGTATTATTCTGTCATTTGGTCTATCATTGCCTTAACTGTCCATTAAAACAATTTGATTATCTATATTAAACGATGCTACCCAGTGGTCATGATGATTGTGGTGTATTTGGCAGGCCGGTGACTGTGTAGGTTCGAGTGGAAATTTACAACACCATCTTTTTTCTAGTTCATTAAAAGCGGGCACTTTCTCGGTTAGCTGCAACCCACCTATTTCGCCCATAGTTTGTTGTCGCAACATTATATTTACAGCCTCCATATGGTTTGAATTCAGTTTCTTATTATTTTTTAAGTCAATTATGTCATTTTCCGTGAGGCCCAAATCTCTGTCCCAGTATTCAATATGTTGTTCTATTGATTCGGTGCTATCGTCTCTTATTTCATAATTGTTGATTTCACTTTCTTCTTTGATTACAGATAAATCGTTTTCCAACTTTGGTAATTTATAGCTCAGTTCATCGGTACACTCTATTTTACGTTTATTTAATTTTTTGCCTGTTGGTGTGTTGTCTAATTTTGGAGTTGAAATATCAAATTTTAAGTTTTTTCGTATTGCACTGTTTTTTGGTGTCATAATTTTGCTTTTTGGAGTCGCATTTACTTTTTCACAAGTGTTTTTTAGAACAGAGTCTGGCGCGGGATTAATTTCAATGTCGGCATCATTGTCTCCAAATCTTCCTTTTTTTGTACCACACATTTTTGAATGTTTTGGTCTACAGTTTTTGCGTAATTGTGTTAAGTTAAACACTGTTTTATAAATAAACTAAAGTCTTTTTTAATTATTATAATAATTACACCTTTCAGATATTACTTTATAAAAGCCAATTATTAGCCTTTAATATGAATTTAACTATGAATTTAAATATATAGTCATTTTACACTATATATCTATATCGTCCGCTTTTTTCCTCTTTGTCTATATCGTCAGCGTTTTCCCTATATGTTTATATTGTCCGCTTAAGGCGTCCGCGTTTTAGACTGCGCCCCTATACAGTATCTATATATAGTTGGGCGGTAACGAGGCTTGCTGAGTTACATCCCGTGAGTGGGTTACCGAGAGATGAATATTCAGATCCGAACCGCGAACATGTGCCAGATATATTGTCTTGCATATTCTACCATATTCCATCATATTTTTTTTTATTCGTCACCTTAACGAAACAATTCTCCATGAAAATTTATGAAGTTACACCCGTAACTATTTTCTTACAACAGCGTATGAAATTACAACTTCAATCATAACGGCGAAATTACGTCATCCGAAGCATGCCGTTGTATAACTCGCGACTCGCGACAGATAAAAATTCCGGTCTGATATGCAAGAAAAACAGGAAGTATAATTTGACGGATAACACAATCAATGTAAACATTATCAATTTAGTCTGTCATACTATTTTTATTTTATTTCCTAAATACGAAGGTTATATTTGCGGCTGATTATTTTTAGAGCCTATTTAGTAACTTAGTCACTGGTCTTCTTTTTGTAGGCAAGCGAAGTTTTAATCCAGGTAGACGGTACGTTGAATAAACGCTGATAAGAACTTTAAATTTTTATTTTAATATGCATTGGGTTATTATTAAATCAGGGTATGCCAGATTTTATTTTATCAAGGCAATATAATTGGACAGAAAAGCAGGGAAAAATAACATTAAACTTTAGCTAGTCAATATTAACTTAAAACAATTTCAACCAACATTCTATTACAGTGATTTTTGTTTGGTTTGCTTATCAATATGCGTCCAGAGCATGCGCATAGTAATATATAGAAACAAAAGTACAACAAGTAGAGATTTTGATGCTAAAGCATCAAGTCGCCGGATAGAAATATGATTGTATTATCATAAATAAAAGAAAATATCAGTTTAATAGAGTGTATAAAGAAAAGAGGAACAATAAGTTGAGTAATGTTTATTCATAAACACTTTTTCATTTACTTGCCACAATTATATCTTTCTTGATGAGAGTTTTATGCAAAAATTTTATCTTATGTTATAATAAAACATCATATTTGAATCAAACTTGCTTAGCAATTTTGTCAAGAAACTGTTATCATTATTAAATAAGCAAGTATTGTTTGGCAATATTTACCCGAGACTCAATAATTTTCGGGAGCTTTTTCGTTTGTTAACATAACTTATTATGATTAATGTAAACGATTTTATTATAAGTATAATTACATATATAATTATATCAATTAATACTGCTCGATGGCCTAGTGGTAAGTATCACGAAGTTGTAACCTACATGTAGTAGGCGCAAGTTCGAATCTCGGACAAATCCTGTGTGTAGTTTTCATAAATTGATTTTTATTATATCTTTTAACTTTATGAAACATAATAAGCATATAAGTTGATAAATCGTGTGTTTCATTTCTAGCAGTTTTTTATTTCATAATTTTGATAAACGGTCAAGTTTTGCAAAATACAAAAAGTATTATAAAAGAAAACATAAAAAAATCACTTTATCGAACCTACAGTCTTCAATTTGAAACGAACATAAATCTAACACCTTGTCACCGAGGCTTGTAAGGCAATTGATATGATTATAATTCTACTTGTAATTCTATTTTATACATATACCGTTGTACGTATGGTTTTCTTCAGCATCCGATAATTACCGACAAATTATTACCGATCATCGAATATTTGCAAAGTAGCTATGAAAATATATATGCTTAATTATTGCATAAAACAATGCAATTCTACTGTAAAAGTGGTGTCTGCATAAACAAATTATTCTGATGCACTATCGAAAAAATATATTATTTAGCTGAAATCAATATTCCTGTCGTTATTGTTTAGTTTTATTAACCTGTCAATTACATACTGATTACACGGTCGAAGCACACATTATATTAATCTTCGGTAGATGTTCGGTAAGTTCCGTGAGATTTACGCTGTACGATGGAATTTAATTTAATTTGTATCTCTAAAATAAGTGTACTCAGCGTTATAGCGCAATGGGGTAAATCACGAGTTTATAATCTGAGTGCCAAACGTGTTTTAAGTTCGAGGCCGCGTTGGTCCATGTTTTTTTCTTATTAATACTTTAACATTATTGAATCTATAATTATATGATTAATATATGTTGTTCATTTTTTTATGTTTTACTTAATTTTGTTATGTATATACTCTTTTTAAATAACATGTTTTTTAAGAATTCATATTTAAAATTAAAACGGATTAAAATCAATAAATGTCTTTTTAATGCCGTAAAACACACTACAAATCTGTCCCATTAAAATACACTGCAAAAATAAAAAGAGTACTAAAACAATGGCAACAGTGAGGATCGAACCACAGACCTCCCATTTATCAGGCATTCTCTTTACCGACTGTCCTATTGTGAATTAACGAAAACCTTCACATAAAGTTGGCGTGACTTTCAATCCATGACTTATTTACTCCACATTAATTCTCGTAAACTACACGGACCAAACCGAAGTGGGATCGATTATTTAAATGAGTCCTATAATGTATTTATAATTGACAGGTTAATAAAATCAGACTATACATACGATAAAGTTAATGTTTAATTGCAGTGCGATAAACTATCAACAAAAAGTAGGTTTATTAGTTTTCTCTGTGTATCCAATACGATTCCGACCCCTACTGTCATACCGAGATTTTTCATACAAAATTACTTTGATTTGCACTTTATCAGCTTTATTATTCACATGTTACCTGTATGTCTATCTTGCCAGCCATTTGTTACTATTAATAGATTTCATAACAATAACATACAACGTGTAGTCACGTGATTCTGGGAGAAACTGTTTATAATAAATAAGATAAAAAATAGAATAGATCTCATAAGATACAAACAACCAGATAATTTAAAAGTGTCATTTCAAATATCATGCATGATTTATTTATCATAAAATAGCAACGCTTGACACTTTAAAAAAAGTAAAATCATCCCTAAATTAAATGACTGGTCCATAGGGATACGTCATTAATTCATTTTATAAATATTGTAATGTTGCTTTTTACGATGTTGGTATTTGAATATTTCATTTCATTTAGCAGCATTATCGTATGTTTGAATTTTTGAGATTACTGAAAACAATTGTAGTATTTAATTGTTCAGTAATTGTTATGCTTTTATTTACAGAAATTAATGCCTTCTCCTACCATAGGTATAATATTACCTATTACAAATATAGTCGCCGGTTTCTACCGGCGACTAATGACTGTGTTTTTAACTTTTTTACACAATGAAGCTATAAATATGATAAAAATGCTTTCTTTATCTTAAAATAATGATAAAAAATCAAGTCTAGTCATTCATTCTTTTAAGAAATTACATAAGTTTCCTTACACTTAAATGATATCAATGTTTCTGCGGAGATTAATTCACTAATAATCATATGAATACGCCGTCTCAAGTTCTCCTTATCATTTTATGCAACGTGCAATGTATTTATAAGCAGTTTATCAAATATTAATAAAGTTATAATATAGCATCCACGTATTCGAGTTATAATATAACATCCGCGTATACTCGAATAACACGATTTTCCAAAACAATCATTAGTAAAATGTGTACCTTTCTCTCTTTCCACGAATCAGCAAATGGATCGTTAAAAATAACTTATTATGGATATGTATTATGACTTTTGAATATTCAATACACTGTTTGAAACATGCATACATTGCCCTATGATATGATTTGGTCAGTTCATCTTCAATGGCCTCAAGTAGAATTGCTTAGGGAAATGTGATGCTTCTTTGAATGGAAAACAACTCAATCCTATACGGAAATGGATGGGTATTTGCACTAATAGAATACCCCTTAGATAGTGTTCTAACTTGTTTGTACAAATGAATAGAAAATTATATTTTGAAGGCCACCACATCTTTAAGACGATAAAAAAAATTACATGACTTTTT